TACACGTGGAATTATCCTTATTCTACTCACTGTTTGATATGTTAGGAAGGGCGGGTTCCAAAAAGATTTGAATTTAACTTCATCTAGTTAATCTCTTAATATCACTTGGGAATCCTTAGCTGACCAGTTTGATGCTGATTCGTCATCCTGAATTTGTGCTGAATAAATTGTTAAATTCCAGCTTAATTTCACTAGAGAATGAATTTCATCTAACCATAGTTGCATTTTGTTATACTATTCACACATTTAAAATTCACAGATTCTTGTTGCTACACCTGGAAGGCTCAAAGATCATATTGAGAATACTGCAGGGTTTGCAACGAAGCTGATGGGTGTGAAAGCCCTTGTACTCGATGAAGCTGATCGATTGCTAGACATGGGATTTCGTAAAGATATTGAGAAAATAATTGCAGCTATTCCAAAACAAAGACAAACGCTCTTGTTTTCTGCCACAGTTCCTGAAGAGGTTTTCTTTCTATCTTTGGCATGTGTTAACTTGTCTTGCCATTTGAATGAATTCAGTGAAATTTGTTCCTCTGTATGCAGGTTCGCCAAATCTGTCATGTTGCTTTGAAAAGAGATCATGAGTTCATCAATACAGTTGAAGAGGGAACTGAGGACACACATTCCAAGGTAGGCTTCTTCATGGCATTTGCCATCCAATACTGATCATTTATATGGGCATTTTTGTAAATTGCTGGATCATTTCAGGTCAGACAGATGCTTCTGGCTGCTCCACTAGACAAGCAATTTCCCCTTTTGTATGTCACTTTGAAAGATCATATTGCAGATGACCCTGATTATAAGGTATGCTCTGCAGTCCTCTAGCCTATTTCTACGTTGACTGCTTTTTTTTTTACAGAGATTTACTTTATATGCCACTACCATGCAGTATATTTAATTCCTTGGTTTGTGCAGGTTATTGTTTTTTGTACTACTGCTAGGGTGACTGGGCTGGTTGCTGGACTTCTGGGTGAACTGAACTTGAATATTAGAGAGATCCATTCTAGAAAGGCACAGACTTACAGGACCAGGGTTTCTGATGAGTTCCGGAAGTCAAAGGGCCTTATACTTGTGACTTCTGATGTATCTGCACGTGGAGTTGATTATCCAGATGTTACCCTTGTCATACAGGTATATCTATGTTATGCTTCTACTTTCAACAATTTGAATGATTGAACTTACCAGTCATTGTTCTAGAAACAAAAGGAAAAAAAAGGGCTGGCCTTTCGCTCCATTGCAGTAGTGTTTATATTATTAATAACCATTTAAGTTAGACCTCTTGCAAACTAGAAAATATGCACATGGCACAGAAGTAGGAGTTTTGACCAAATTGACCGTTGCACACTGGTCATTTAAGCATTCCTAACTGCTTCCCTAATTTTTTCAGAGACACATCTCCCATTTTATCCTTATGATGTTTAAGCTACTCTCAGACCTTCCATATTCAATCTTCTCATACACGTTTGCAAAACTTTTCTGCTCCCATGAGTCTTAATTACATTTTTTTTATATGCACGGATTTTAATTACATTTATTGCAAATCTAGGTGGGGTTGCCAGCTAGTAGAGAACAGTATATACATAGACTTGGTAGAACTGGGCGTATAGGTAAAGAAGGGCAAGGTATTTTGTTGCTGGCACCTTGGGAGGAATTCTTTCTATCTACAGTCAAGGATCTCCCAATAACAAAAGCTCCCGTGCCTTCACTGGACCCTGACACAAAGAAAAAGGTAGCCTACTTCGTTCTTTCCACTGTTTTTCCGAAGGAATAATTCCATCATCAATTGGATTAAAAGCACAGAAATCACAATTTTTTAAACCATTATTTTTCGATAAACTGGCAATTAAACATATTATGAACAGGTGGAACGGGCACTGTCTCAGGTGGACATGAATTCCAAACAAGCAGCATACCAGGCCTGGTTAGGTTATTACAATTCACAAAAGAAAGTCGGCAATGACAAGTGCAGGCTCGTGGAGCTTGCTAATGAGTTCAGCCGAAGTATGGGACTTGATACTCCTCCTGCCATTCCCAAGCTCGTCCTTGGGAAAATGGGCCTCAGGAATATTCCTGGCTTACGCTCAAAGTAGATGGGCATCTCTACTAGCCAACTGGATCATTTTACATGAGATCTGCCTGGGAATAATATCCTTGCAGGTTATCTGTGTAGAAAAATATCATCCATTCAATTAAATGTGTTTTTTTCTCCTTAAATAGGTATTGTGCTATAGAGCAGGAGTGTCATACTAACTCATACGCTAATGCTTACAATCATGAGATGTGAGAGCTACCAGTGGCACACGATTGGGTATTCATACATCGAATGATTGGGGGAGTTATTGTGGAATGTTAGTGTTGTCATTTTTGTGTAAAGAGTACATTTCATCTAAATTGATGTTAACTAGGCACCCGGCCTTCTTTATCTAGCTCCACTTTCCTCGAAGCCCTGATCTTTTGCTTTTTATTTTTCAATAAACTAAGCGACGCTTCAATTCACTGAAAAAGATTACATGCAGTCTTTTTGGGTTTGGTATCTATCCAAAAGTTGGGATCATATGAAGGAATGTTGGGCCTCTTGTACGTAGCTCTGCGGTGCGGTTCTTCAATCTAGCCAAGATTTATGCCCACAAGACCTCGTTTATCTAGTTCTACTTGGTACGGAGCATTCATTCAAACCATAACTTCATAACTCATAAGCCATACCCCATAGCGCGTTTCCATTTTGCATTACCCTGTCAAAGCATGTCAGGCCTTGTTCATCTAAGAAAATAAAGGGTGAACTTGCAATCTACAGGATGGTCTTCCTTCGGCTTAATACGTTAGCCTAGCCCCACTTGTTAGTTTACAATTACTTTTGTACAATTAAGAGTTGATCCAAAGCCCAAATAAGCGCAGGAAAACAGTAAATACCTATGTACGCAGGACAGGCACAGTAACGAAGGAAAATTGACAAGAAAAATCAATATTTTAAAGGTAATAAAATCAACATTTTGGGATCCCAGTTAGATTTCAGGTTGCCTTAACTGTGACAATGTTTGGGTGAATGAGATCAAAAAGCTCATTCTTGTATTATTGAGTTTTATGCATAAAACGCACCTTTTGGTAATGAAAGATAGCTTCCTGGTTACTTCACATCTAAGTTAATATTTTTAAGTTTCTCAAAAAAAAAAAAAAAATTAATAATAATTTGATATCTTTAAGCAATTAGCATTCAATAGACATAAGTCCTTAGGGGAGGGGTATCTGGTATTAACCCAAAAGTGGTAAAATACCATCATAACAAACCAAAATCCCGAAATGAAAATCTATTTAACAAAACACACCAACATATTTACAAATCAACACACATTATGTACTTTATGCAAACAACCATACATCCAAAAAGAGAAAAAAAGTACTTAAAACTTGTCAGAGAATCACCCAATGGCACACAAGTGCTTTAATCTATAACAAATCAGTTAAAGCTAAAAATCGCTTCTTGATATCACTAGAGCTGTCCATTAAACGGCAAAAAAAAAAAAAAAAAAAAAAAAATACAAACCACTTAGGTTAATTTTGGGGGTGGGTGGGTTGTTTCTATATCGATCCATGTGACGGTTTTGTGCTGGTGAATGTCGCATCCGATTTTCATGTGTTTTGACCAGTCCAAACCAAGGATTTTAATGCAATATGTGTTTACGTGGAGGACTGACGTGTTAAGCCACAGCATAATTTAAGTAATAAGATTTTTTTAAGGTTCGAATTTGCAAACCGATCCATATGCACTTTATACATTCCGTACTGAATGGTTATGCCGACAAATTAAAAAAAAATGCCAAAGTTCTATGTTAAATTGTTGAAAAAAAGAAAAAAAAAAGAGCAAAGCCAAGGAAAAGGATTTTTTGATATTCCTTTGAAAGAAAGGAAGATGAAGCATCAACATGGTGCCCCAAATATCTACCAATTCTCAATATAGTTTCGAAGACATTTTTTCCCAACGAAGTCCCAAAATATTCACAAAATCCTGAACAAGGAAAAAAAAAAAATCCTCAATACATCAGTGCAAACTTAATCGTATCAACTATAAAATAAAATAGAAAGCTTAATGAACAATCACCAATGGAAACCCAACAGCATCAAGGAATTTTTAACAATGAATCAATGCAATCATTTTCACCTATCTTAGAAGGTTGTATTGCTACAGTGTCAACTTTTTGAAACGAGCAAAAATTAACTGCTACACTGATCTTATGAATCAAAATCCCTAATACATCGTGTGGAAGAAAATCAAGCAAAACAACTTTAGAACATGATAAAGTTCTAAATTATAAACCTGCGAGCTTCTACATCAGTGGAGTTACAAAGTAAAATATATTTATATATATATAATAATAATAATAATAATAAACTAATCACTGAGCCCGCATCCCAGCTATCTGCCAATCTGTTAATTCTTGTAAGCAGGACAGGTTAGAAAATGACTTCTAGTGTACAAACAAGCACAAGCCATGAAAAGTGCGACCTTGAGAAAATTATGAGATGGATCAAACTGCAAAACCATACACAAATAAGGTGAGAACAAGAAAACCTTGTAGTTGAAGGTTTTCTCGTTATAGTTTCTCCCACCATCATTTTCTCCCTGGCTTGGAAATGCAAGAGGGGAATCCTCATCCTTTGATTGATAATATCTAATTCCTCTGGGCCGCTGGTTTGGCAAATAAAGTCAAATTCCCCTGTTAATATAATAAATCAAAAGCATCACACAATGATCCTATGGAAATAAATAACAATTAATGAATATAACTAGCAGCATAAAAATCAAATCCTAAAATTAGTCAGCTACGTCACATATTGTAATTTATAATATGAACCAGACTGCTACCCATATTGCATAACTTACTCTTGTACTATAACTATAATACACTGCAACCTTATACCAACTTGCCTTTAAGGTGCACACTGCACAGCAATTCAGAAATCTTGCACTTCTATAGCTGATTCAAGAAATAAACATGTAACTACCTCTGGACACGGGGTGAAGAAGGCTGATCTGGCAATGGCCGTTGAACAGAGCTTCTATGAAACCTTTGGTCCTCAAATCCCCCACTTGATCGACTCCCATCATTTAAATGCAAGGTCTCGTTTACACCTGAGAAACCTACCAGCCCAAGAGACCCAAACTCAAGATGTTCTGCAGAACCATAGCCAGCATTATGATCATAGGGAGAAAGCATGACAACAGATGGAATGGTAGGTCCATCTGATGACACTCCACCAGAATTCAAGGATGGTAATGGATACATGCCATATGCCACATTGGCGGAACCACTCTGATTGGAGTTTGAGCGGATTGGACCATTCTGAGACTGGTATGAAGGGAATGTATCATGTTTATGTGATCCCCATGTCCTCTCAGCTTGGGTCTCACCTACTGCCAACCGGTCTGGACTTGAATTTGACTTTTCAGCTTGGCTACGACTGTTGCTGCGCCCAGCAGCCCGTGCTCTATAATTATTATTCCAGTTCCCTTCCCTATCAATGTGGTGGTCACTTCTATTGTAGTTGTGGTTTCCCTTTCTCATATTTGTAGCATGCCGGTCTCGGACGGATACCTTCTGCAGTAAATCAAACTTAACTATGAAAATTTATAGATTTAAAGTGTAAAAAGTGCTGCATAATTCCAATGTATTTGAATATGAAAGCACAATCAAGCAATTTCAACCACCAAAAAGCCAACTTCCCTAACCAAGTTAGAATCTCACGACCAACAATCACAGTCCATATTTTCCACATCCAGGTCAGTCAAAGTGAATCATTTCCCAATAATATGCAACCAGTACACAGTTACATTGAATATCAACAAAAATGCACCTAGCAAACAAAACTATATGTTGATAAAGTGAGAGGACCTTACAGGGGGAGACTGTCTAACTAGAGAACTACGACGGGTCTAGGGTTCAATAAAATATGACGAGAAGTGCAAAACATGCACGCAAACATATGTAAACAAAAAGTATAGTCAATTGAATGACAATTGCAACCCTCTGCCTCTCCCCAAAGACAAACACATTATTGATATTTAAAAAAAAAAAAAAAAAAAAAAAAAAAAAAAGAAGAAGCATGGAAAGCACAAAAGATAAAGCTGGTTGAGTAATCTATCTTACTGGATTCGGCAAGTAGGTCCCAGTACCACCACGATATCTAGGCATTTCATCAACATAATGTTGGTAGACACCAGCAGGTCTATTCGATGCAGACTGTAGAGGAGCAACTGGAACAATACGAGGCCCATAGCTCGAAAGCTGAGTAAAAAGATTCATGTTGGTTGAAACAGGTCTCCCAGGACCATCCCATGGAAAATGACCCTGTAAGTAGACAGGTGGCACCATAACAGGCGAAGGATAAATCATAGGTGCAGGATTTCGTGTGTTTTGGTACAACCGCCCAAACTGCAAGTTTTGCCAGTGGCTAGCAAAATCACTATTAAGAATGTCAGATTTGTGTTCCAATGGCTCAACAGAAGCCGCCATTCTCATAGAACTGGAAGTACTTAAAACCACAGATTGATCTAGCCCCTCAGATGAACCAAAATTTTGACCAGAGTCACTGTTATCAAGGCCCTCCTCACTGCCAACTTGGCTTGTTGATGCACCAGAAGTTCCTGTCTTGGTTGGGAAGTTGTACAGTGGAAGCATTGTAACAAATGGAACTGGTGGCCCTGTAGGATAAAACGTAAAAGGAACAGCCCCTGAATTATCTGTAGATCTCTGCCGTGAACCAGGACCTAAGTGCACTGGAGCAATGGGTATCAACGACTCAGATTCACTCTGCTGTGCTGATTCATATCCAGGTACTTGATGCCTTGAAACATGCAAAGAAGCAGCAGATTCAGATTGGGATCCCGCACTTCTTTCAGGTCCTGGGCCCATTGTTGATACCGTATTCCATTCTTTGTCATCATCATCTGTCTGACTGGAAGAATATTCAGAGGCACTCTTACCTTTTCCATAAACAGAAGACTGCACTGCAGAAGAAACCATTTTCCTACCTCTCTTTTCCTTTACGAGCTTTGACACCTTTACTGATGATCCTTCCCACGAACTCTCGGATGGGGGTTTACTTCTCACGGTAGGAAAGGACCTTGAACTTGCACTTCTATCATCAAAGTATTCTTCAGTACCTCTCTTTTCTTGATATGTTAAAGCATCTATAGGTTCTTCCCTGGCTGACACTCGGGTTTCTCTGGGGAACTTCTTATGAACTCTCAAAGAGTTGCCAGAGCCACCCCTTTGAGATGATCGAACAAAATTATAACTAGATGAACTAGGCTGTGAATCATATGATTGATGCATCTCAAAGCTTGCATTATCAACATAAAACCCACAAGGGGAGCCCCTCTCCTGCTCATGCCAGAAATCAAAATCAGTCTCCCTAACATTCATTTCCATGAGAGCAAAATTCTCATTACCAGGTTCAATGGAATCTTCTTGGTTTGAACCCAATTCAATGCCAGGAAAATAATGGGTTAACGGTGAAGAAATCAAACCTTGAGGAAATTGCATATTTGAACCCCAAGGAGTCTCAATGAAGGGAATATTAGTGGGCCCCATTACACCCATATTTGTCTGACCATATCCCATTGGAGATACGTGACTGGGCGCCATATTCAGAGGAACATGAACCTGTCCACTGAAACCCAGACCTGTAGAAGAAGCCATCACATTCACAAGATCTTGCTCTTCCTGATGCATCCCCTGTGTCCCCAGGATGGAAACCAATTCTTCACCCATGGCACCCAAGCCTGAATCATTGTGGTAACTATTTGAAGCAGCTGCAGGATCGAGGCTTTGATGGGAAATGGCATGCCTAACAGATGAAGGATCATCAGTTGAAGAGCTAATATCATGATTTGCCGAATTATCAGCTTCCAGGTTTTTCCTCCTGCTATGATCTAGCCCAGCAGATGGGGCCTGGCCTTTTCCACTATCCTGGACTTTGTTATGCCTTCCTTGAGAAGAAATTTCACCATATGTCTCGGTAAGCTCAGGACTAGAGCGTGTCCTCGCAAAAGAATACCTTCCCTGAAAGTCAGCGACAAAGTTGTCAGGTTTTGCACTTCTCTGACTTTTATCAACATGCAAGCTTTGATTGGAAGTAGATTCCCTTCTACTCTGATCAGAGGTGGTCCTTGTGCTGTTTGTGTCAGCATAAGTCTTTTGGCTTTGAGTATGAGAAACTGTTGCAACTTCACTACCTTTGGATGTGCTTTCTGAGGAATAATTATCATGCTGGGAGTGAACACTATGTGTGCCATGGGCTGCATCTTTAACTTCAAGACCAGAAGGTTTGCTACTTGAATTGTTCCTGAGATTCTCAGGTTCATGCAAGTGATCATGATTTGGCAATCTCAATCGCCAAAAATCACTCCTTGGCGCATCAGGACGATGGCCACTACCATGTCTCTCCCAGGTGTTCAGAAAGAACTGATTTACTTCAAAACATAGGTCTTCTGTGGGGCAATCAAGTGACCTAGCTAGCCTTTTAGCTCCAAACGCAAATGCACTGCGTATCCTGAAAAAGTTACCTGGAAAATGTGTCGTATTACATGATAAAAGTTACTAACAGCTGTAAGAAGTATAGAACATTCACAAACTGATCGATTTTTTTTCCAATCAAATACTGTTATGTCTAAGGACATAAACACAACATACATATCAAGACTAAAAACATATTTAAGCAATTGATAACACAAAGAACCCTTTTCAAATCCTAGAATGAAAAATCTCATTGGATCAGATTGTATGCAATGTCCCTGTTCTAAGCCTTAATACCATTCCCAATAAAAGAACAAGAACTAGGATATATTTGAAACCCAAAAAGACCGAGACAGAAAAAGCAACATAGTTACAGATGCTAATTTTTTTGCAAGGAACGTATATAAATAAATATATAGAAATAAATCAGCACGCATCCTCTGGTACATGTCTTTCTTTATCAAACCTTTTTCTATTCAGTTTTGTTTCAAATCACGGTGTATAAATACTTTTAGGAGAAACTGGATAACAATAGCACAAACCTCTCTTATGGCTCATAGTTACACCAACAACATGCCAATTTGCAAGCCACTATCAGCAGAATCATGTATAAAGAGGAAATAGTGTCATAGGTAATGATAGTTTGTACCATATGGATAGATAACAAAAACATAAGGCAGTTGGATAATGCTTTAAAAAATATAATAACGCCAGCAAAGCAAAGACAAGACGTCGAGTCCTGATTCTCAATGCTATCTACAGCAACTTGTTCATACAGAAGAAGGAAAAAAAATCGTGCATTTGTCATGCAGATGCACAGTAAAACATATTCACAACTTAAAAGAGAAACAGGGAGCTATTATAACATATCCACAATTCAAAACGAAAAGGCAGAGATATTCAAATGACAGTCAACTTGAAGGCAATAAACATAGCAGACTTCTATTAGTATACCTTTACTGACACTACGACCCAGGTTGTTATTTACACGCAAAGGATCAATAACATTGAAGTGTTTGGTCAAAAAGGGTTGCTCTTGATTATTTCGTCCAGCAGGTAAAACAGCATATACTGCACTACAAGCCTCAAGAAATAATTTGCTAAGTAGTAACTCTCCACCATCCTTTCGAGGAGGTTCCGCTGCATAACATTTCACTAAAATAGTTGATACCAGAAGTTTGACAGATATTTACAAAACAAAGGGTCACTTATTCAGAAGATGGAAGTGTCTTCAATCAATTATGCATACCTGTTACATCAGGAAGTGAATTAATAGGTACAGGACCCCAGAGGCTAACACAGAAAGTATCCCAATCAAACTTACTGAAGAACTCAAGAAAACGATAAAGAACCTAGACATGTAAGTAGAGAAAGAATCAGATAAACAAACAGATAAGAGAGGAATGCAGCAAGACAGTGAGACAAAGTACCAAAAGCCACCTCAAGAGGACCCGCAAAGGAATTGTTGAAAACGTGAAATATATATAGAACCAAGGTTTCCAAAGCATAAGTGGAGATCAACCCGTGGTGAGCACCCAGTATACGGCTCTCATAGTAACACCAGGCCTTTATCAGTATAATGCTACGCTTGAATAGATGGTTTTGATTTATCAAATTATCAACCTACAGAAGCAAAAAATACTAATCAGGGACAAAATTGGAAAAGAGTATCCTGGTTTGCAGTTACCAAGAGAAAAATGCTACTACCTCCATCCCATAATTAAAATCGATGTTTTACTTTTCAGTTGTTTGAGAAAGGTAGATAACATGGTCGTACAGTACATTATGCATCTAATTTTCACTTTTTGACTTTTTTTTGGTTTACTTTTCTCAAACTCGAGGTTGATAAATGATTAGGGCATGACAGAAAAATATAAAAAATGTTGGTAACTTTCTAATAATGGACTACTAATTTGGAATAGCAGAAGTGCCCGGAAAAAGGATCATTATATTTGGACAAAAGAAGTAAGCAAAATTTCGAGGATACAGCACTAACCTCTTCAAGGAAACAAAGGGTACACAGTCCACCAAGTTGGTTAAATGAAATATCTACCACAATGTTTTCCACAAGACACTTTATTATCTTTACCTGCATATATGCATTCAAACAAAAACAGAACATTAAATCTATCATAAAGAATTGCTTCATAGGGCACAGGGTATTGAGAAATCTTTCATTGAATTTTTTTTTGTACATCTATTAGACAAAGATTTCAGCAGGAAAATCATCTTCTTGAATAAACAAATACAGAAAAGAAAAAAAAAAAAAAAACGTAGAAATTTGAATATGAAAATAAATAAATTCACACCACACGAAATTTTAAGAATGTGTTGAAACGCTAGCTCCAGTTTCCACCATTGCCCCAAAATTAAAGCTAATACAGAGTGCATAAATCTAGCAAACAATCCACTTGTCAAACAGTCCACTGTAGTGGAAGTAAATGCATAGATGGAACAAAGCTGCTGCGACAATCTGAAGTCAACGTTACTAACCAGATAGCAAGCTAAATATAAATAAGCAAACTCTCAGTTGAAGAAGCAAGCTTAAAATAAATTGAAGAAAAAGAGAGAACAAAAGATGAATAAACATAATGTCCAACAACAATAAGAATTTAAAGGATTTAAAAGGGACCTACCTCTGCCTGAATGTACTGAACCTCCTTCACTCGGAATTCAGCATTTTCATTCTTCTCCTCATTCTCCAGCATATCACGAACCTGATGAACCCATGAGTCTTTCAAATTTGGATTCTTACTGAAGGCTGTTAAGTCAATATCCCCATCAGGTAAATAAGTCTTAAGTGGTACAGAACCAAAGGTGAAAACCTGTATATAATAACAATCATGGGTAAATAATTATATAAAGAACTCAAAAATGCACATGTTTTGCAGCAATGAAACAATTGAGATTATGAATCCAAATCACTCTCACTACAAAAATACTCAAGTCCTACCAGCAAGCCAGTCTGCACAATTCACAGTAGTTGATGTTTTCGGACTCAACCTGGGGTCTATACATATCTAATTCTAATTAAGACACGCAGATTCCCATTAGTTCATCCTTAGAATAAGAAACACATAATCCTTTACTGCCTTCAACTTATTACCCACAGAATGCTAATATTTGCATAATGTTGCTAATCAACACATACAATCTCATCTTTCACTTGTTTTTTCATGAACGAAGTTTCGATCAACACCTTAACTTTCAAATTTGACGGACAAAATCACCTCTTCAAAGTCCAAATCAATAATCCTGACTTAACAATGAGCACCACTCCACGTCTCTCAACTGAACCAACACAATCTACAACAATAATTATGCAATCTAAATCTAAAAACTCATCAAGACATAGACCATAAGTGTAAGCAACACAAAGATTTCATTACATCAATACATATAGGTAATGCACCTGGCAAGGAAAGCACTTTGCGATAAGCCGCTGCACGTAATCTGCAACAGCATTGCGAAGCTCTTCAGAGGGCTGGTTGGGCTGAATGCAGGCAATAAGCTCTGCAGTTCTCTCTTCAGCCTTTGACCATCGCTCCGAATCAAGCACTCTGATCACAGAGGCAGCTTCGTTGGGCAATAGGCCATTTGGTAATAGCCCGCTTGGTGGCTGTGCCCACCCTTCATGCTCTCCCATGCAATCCTAGAAAAAGAGCAAGTGTTTTCCTTTCTCTATTACCCTCCCTCTCTCTCGCTCTCTTTTTTCCCCACAACTACCTAACAAACAAACAAACAAACCTTCTTCCAGAAATAACAAATTTAAATGCTTGAAACCATAAACAACAATAAAGAAAAAAAGAAGGTACAATATACAAAAATAGAAATAGATACAAAAAAAAAACTAGGAAATTGTGATTTTCAGATGAATCTGTTTCCAGAAAATGGAAACTTCCCAATTAACAAGCCCAGGTAACACAATCCTTTTAAGTAACCGGAAAAAAAAAAAAGTCAAAGTGCTGTAATTTCCACCAAAATTCTGGGTGAAAAGAGGAAAAATCAATTTCAGGTAGGTTGGGCGCTAATGAATAAAACAGAGTAATAAATAAAATTAAATTAAATCAAACGAAGCGCTAGAAATTATGAACCCTAATAAACGGGAGAAAATCTGAATCCTGATAATAATTATAATGATTGAAGTGTCGGCAAATCAAATAAAGAAAAATTGCAGGATTGAAGGGAGGGAGTAATTTATTATTTATTGGGAGAGTGGATTATAGAATCTGGTTTCTGGGGAAGGAGAACGAGAAAGAAAGAAAGAAATAATCAGTATCAAAAATTGAAAAATTAAAAAATCATAATCATAAATGGATAAATGGATCATCGGAATTTTGTATTATGGGCCTGAATGATGTGAGCAACAAGCCCATGTTAGCCCACTTGGCCCACTTTCGGATGACGTGTGCAGTTAGCTAAGGTAAGTCGGGTAAATATATATATATTTACCCGTCACTATAAGTCATCTGATCGTACGGTTCGTCTGACATCAATGGTGAATTAAATTTACACGGCGAAGATTGAAAGCCGCAGCGCGAGCCAAAAAAGAACCGGCAACATACAAACAACACGGCAACAAAACGCCCGCTGTCCAGGCTCTATTTTCTTTGAACACACTCGGCGTTTCTGCCTTTTTTTCTGTACAACGGCGTTTCTGCGCTACGCCGGAAAAACAGAAACGGAACTCGAAGAAGCTCCTCAATCAGAAAAAAAGAAGACGAATCTAGAACTTTCTAGAGTTTGACGACGCCATTCTTTCTGCTTCCGAGTAACTTCTTAGTAGTTGCTTTATTATCTCCTTCGGCTCTTTTGCTCTTACTCTATTAGGGTTTGGATGCACTTCTTAGGCTGCCTTGTGAAGTCAATTGCTTAAAATTCAGTATCTGATTGGGTCTAATTTGGATCGAATTGTGAATATAGGATGTGCATGTGCATGTTATCTGGTTGATTTTCTAGGGTTTCGTCTTTGATTTCAGATTCTCAAAGAACCAGCGAATTTTAGCTATTGACTGTACTGGACGGGTGAAAGCTGTGGTCTTTTTTGTTTAATATGGCAGATTCAACTGAGTCCGAACCTCAGCAGACCGAAGCAGGTATGCATTTTTCTTTATCAAAGCTTACCTCTGTTTGCTTTTTTCGACTTTATCTATTATCTGTTGTAATAAAAAAAAAATTAAATATATATTTGGCCTTTGCAGTGTGCAATTTTTTTAGAAAGCCGACGAAGAACAAGAATATTAGAAAGAGAACGATTGAGGAAGATGAAGATGAGGATTCAAAAACTGAAACCTCTCTTTTACATGGTCAGAAAAAAGCCTCGAAGGCTGACAATAAGCTCTACTTTTCGACTGGACCATCAAAGAAGTCTGAATCAAATGCAGAACCTGAAAGGCGGGTTTTTCAATTTGAGTCTTCGAAGGAAATTCAAGTTCAGCATGATAGTAGAGCGACTGCAACTCTAGAAACTGAGACTGAGTTTTCGAAAGATGCTCGGGCCATTCGTGAGAGAGCTCTAAAGCAAGCTGAGGAGGCTTTGAAGGGTAAAAAACCGAGTTCTGGTGAAGAAAAGTTGTATAAGGGGATGCATGGGTATACTGATCATAAAGCTGGGTTTCGAAGAGAGCAAACAATTGCAAGTGAGAAAGCTGGTGGATCACATGGACCTCTTAGAGCTTCTGCTCATATCAGGGTGTCAGCAAGGTTTGATTATCAACCAGATATATGTAAGGATTACAAAGAAACTGGTTACTGTGGGTATGGAGATTCGTGCAAGTTTATGCATGATCGAGGGGATTACAAGTCTGGGTGGCAGATGGAGAAAGAATGGGAAGAGGCAGAGAAATCAAGGAAGAGAAATTTGGCTTTGGGAATGGATGATGAGGAAGAAGGAGGTGTAGGGCAGAGAAACGATGATGATGATGAAGATGAGTTGCCGTTTGCTTGTTTCATTTGTAGGGAGCAATTTGTGGATCCCGTCGTGACTAAATGCAAACACTATTTCTGTGAGCATTGCGCTTTAAAGGTAGCCCATTTTGCACCAACTTGTTGCGCTTTAGCAACTGTTTCCTTTGTGACTTCGCTTTCTAAATTATGTTTTGAATGACATATTTTCCATGATTTTGAACTTATTTTATTTTCCCCTCATCTGCTTTACAGCATCATGCGAAGAACAAGAAGTGTTTTGTGTGCAATGAACCAACTCTTGGCATTTTCAACACGGCTCATGAAATACGCAAAAGGATGACTGAAACGGGTAAACGATGATCAACTCTTTCCTCTATACTGTAGTCATGGATGTGTTCTCCGTACTTTGTAGGAAGTGACTATTAAGATCTCCTTTTCTGAGGCTAATCATAAGAGGAAGTTCATGTTTCAGTTGTTCCTCAAAACTCTTTGTATCCGTCTGAACTATCTGTACTATCTTTCAGAAAAAATCTAATTCATTTCATACTACCTTTTGAATTAATAAACTAGGTGGCTTCTTTTGAGTTTATTAGTCAGGAGTTCAAGCTCTTATAGGTTCCGTACTGCACTTTATACGTGGCATTAGCCATACTGAGGAGATTAGAGTTGATCTGTATGCAGGATTAGATCGTGGGTTGCATCTAGTTGCCTAAACTTTGTTCAGTAACTTTTTTTAACAAATTAGATTGTCTTTGATGGTGACTATTGAGTTGTTGGCCGTTAGATTTGTGCTCCTTAATGCAGTAGTGCTGCTTAGATTATAAATCTGAACTAATGGCTGTGAGCTGAGCCTGGTAATTCTATATTGTGAAGAACAGTAAAAAATAAGTGTTAATTTTGCAGTATCTTTGCTACAAGAAATAGTGGATTTCATTAAGTTGTTAGTCAGTGATGATGAATGATAAATACAGATACAAGAGGTTTATCGGCTGTACATATGTTTGGTGTCTTATGCATATCTAACCAGGGGAGAACCATGCAAAATTGCTTCACACACCAGTCATGGCCTTCTTGGCTAACATACTTCTTTCCAAAGTGTTTTCATGGTTCCATAAGTGTGGAGATGGTGAGGCAAGCAATGGCCACAATTGATTCCCCCATTGTTGTACTTTCCAACCAACCATCTTTGAATTTTGCCTTAGAACTTTGTTCACTGCCTTTAGGTAGTTACTTGAGTCATGGTCTCTTAAAATTGTACCTTTTGAGCCATAGGCTGTAGGATCGCTAAGAGTTTCCAGTGGGTGGGGACAATTCAGGAATGCCTTCATGGCACTTGCAGAGAAGCCATATTGGGTTTTATCAAAAGCATACAGTGCACTTCCTGGAGGGAGTAAAGGGTGTGGAGGAGATGACTTCTCATCAGGTTGGAGTATGAATAATTTCCCAAGTGGAGCATACAAAAATTTCTGCATAAAAACAAAGGAGAAAGTGAATGAGAAATTTTGGCTAACTTCCTTCGCTTTTTTTACTCTTCTATGGATCTAAACTCAAGATTGGGTGTAGAACAGTAGGCAACTTTGAACTTTAAAAAGAAATAAGGTACATAATACATTAGGAATGAACCTTTGGACGGGAATTGAATTTGAGGGATGCCATGAAGTTGATAGTCAAACTCGTTAGACAATACAATTCTGAACAAGTATTATATAGATGGTTTTTAGATTGGAAAGTTAACGAGTTGATATACTTACGTTCTTAGTCAGACAAGGGTGTGACTGGAAGGGGCCATTTAATCGCTTGAGGACTAGTGCCACATGGTTGGGGTAGTTGCAGGAGAAAGCTCTTGGGACAATATCTCTATGCATAACTACACCATGTACATGGTTTTCATCTATCCCCAAATAATCAAGGATCTTTTGGCCTCCACAGAACACGAATGGGGAGCCAAAAGTGACTACCGGCCTAAGGGTGGAGGGCTTGACAATCTTCCTGGTTACAAGCATCAAGTGGACTAAAAGAGAGAGGCTACCACCAAGAGAATGGCCAGTAAATTGAAGCTTAGCACGCTCTCCATATTTTTTCAAATGTTCCAATATTTCTGGCATGAACTGTTCATATATTCCCTTTGCTGCTTCGTAAATCCCTCTGTGAACAAGCACATCTGTACCCTGCCAAACACAGCATTTGCTCAAGGTTTTAGGTCTTTCTGCTATTCGAATACAGGTCTATCTTCTGAGAAGGACTCCTTTTGATTTGTGAGAGTTTGCAGTCAATACTTACCTCAAATTTAGCAGGTTCAAATAGGAGGTTTGCCTGCCAAGATGCAAGGGAGTCAGATCCCTGCATTTTGGAAGCATGAAAATAAGTTCAACCCCTCTCAGATTTGTGTCTTTCTTTCAGAAATAGAATAAGGTGTCTGATGTGAAAACTATAATATCATCGTTTTTTTCTTCTTCTTTTTTTCTAGAGCCTAGGACTGTTACATAACATACAAAATGTAATGAATGACGAAGGAATTATTTACCTGAATCACAAAGCAGCGTGTATATGTGCCTACGTCATCACAAACAAACCATTCACAAGGTGCCGAGTTAAGTGATTGTAGGTCCCTTGCTGCCTCCTGTTTTTCCTTCTCCCCAGCTGCAACCACTGCCGTCATAGTCGATGCTGCAACATAAGCAGCCACCTCTGATTTATATACTCGTGGAGATCTGTCGCCATCTCTGACTGGTTGGTCTCTGTCCTTGTTTGGTTGGTTTCTAGTACTGCTTGAATCAGTACAATTGCCTTCCTGCTGAGGTTGAGTGCCATGAGAAAGAAGGCCTTGTGCATGTGACTGGACATAAGATGCAGCTGAGGCAGCAATCCCATAAGCAAGAGATGAGCGGATTGGGTGCTTCTGCTCAGGTTCCTCATTGTTCTCTGAGTTGGATTTGGGAACTTCAAGGGCAGCTGCAGGTACTTGAGTATAGTTCTGATCAAGCTTCTCTTTCGTGGCTGCAGCTTTCAGGGCAGCAGCCTCCGCTTTCTTCTCTAAAGAAGATGTTACGAAGTGTAGGCCGTAATATCTCCTCAAATCGATGGCCTGCATATTAATGGATGGATTACTTCTGTTAGATGCATTTGCTTTATATGTGCTTTAGGCTGGCGTTACATGTTTTGTAGGTGACGGAAGAAATGAATTACTGATTACGCTTTGAATCACATAATGAATGACTGATAATTCTCTTGAGCTAAAATATTAATTTCATTATTATTTTTGAAATCCAAAATCAATTTTCTTAACCAATAGCTCGCTAGTACCATAGAGTTAGTCGAGCGGTAGAGTTTGGAAGACCCAGATCCTAGGATGACAGTCCACATAATTGTCGTGAAGAACAGAAAGTGCGTACCTTAATTTCTGGTATAACATAAGCCATATTGCACAAGAATGCCAGCTTTGAGAAAAGCTTGATATCAGACCAGGCAACTGGAGCCAGAAATCTTAAAAATGTTTCTTGATTGTATTTTATTTCTCCTCCTCCTTCGTCTGAGTTATAGTCTACCATGCAACCACCCTCACAATTACTATCACCATTTTCATCGGCATCAGATAACTCTTCTCCATATAGGTCCTCGCTCTGTTGCCTATTCTGCCAATGACTTCTGATCTCATAAATTTGCTGCACCCAATTTGCTCTCTTTACCTCTCCTAGTTCATTGCTAGCACTGCCCTTGTCTGAACTGCCGACTATATTCTCATCCTTCTCTGATGAACTCTCAGCTCCGTCCTTGGCAATGTTCATGTCTTTGCTTGTCTGAGGGTCAAACAGAAACGATCGAAGTGATGCTGGGAATATGGAGGTAGAGATTTGAAATGGGAAAATCCCAACCGAATGGCTGCTTTTTAGCTTTGGTTGTGTTGATGCAGCCCGGATGTGGTTATTGGAATAACAGAGGTGGTTATCTGAATAGGATCTCCTCATGGTGGATCCCTTACAGAAGTCTTTGCCAGAGTTTGAACGGTAAAGACCATTGTGTTCTTTGAACGTACCCTTCTGTTTTAAAGTTGCTGGGGAGGAGGGAACAGCCATTGAATTGCATACCATGGCTTGTAACAGTTGTTACCGCGCTGATGCTGAGAGTGAAATTGTTGTTGTGAACCCTCCCTTTGTTAGTAAAATGCCCCTCTTTCCTTCTCTTTCGATCTGCGTCCACCTCTCTAGTTAAAACATCGAGGTTTGGCGGATTTCCTGAAAAAAAAATTTCAAGGGGTGGAGTTGGATTTTATAAAAAGGTTAGGCAGGACAAATGCACATCGTTAACAACGAGAACATTAAGATACCACGAATTCTTGGAACACGAAAGTTAACAATTCAATTGAATACTTGAACTTAAACAAAGCGTATAGTGTGATTTGGTGTGATGTGAAGACACGACATGACCATGATCTCAATATCTTGTGGTTCTAGCACTGTATTTTTGTCATCTAAAAATGGTCGGTCAAAACAAATATTTCTTACCATTAATTTTGACCAAATTGAACATGAGAGTGTGGGTACCATGGACATTGTATTTACCGGGGTTTTTTTTTTTTTTTGAGGATGGTAAACTCTGTAGTTGAATCTAAAGAATTTGTATTTAAACTTGATTAATATCTTAATATAAATTTTCCAACTTGTACCTACCATGTCTTCCTGACAATAATGCATAAAGAAAATTTCTCAATAAAATATATACACACACAGTAGAATTTGGAAGAATAACAAACAACAGTAGCATTTTTGATTTTATATATATATATATAACCCGGAAAAACCTTCAATGGCCTGTAGTCAAAGGCTTTACAATAAAAACTTTTAAAGATGAAAAAAAAATTACTGACAAAATGAGGAATTGTGAAGAAAATATATGGTATCCTACTAAAATTTTCACAAAAGACTTTACGTAGCAAGCATCCCACCTAAAACCCGTCTTACAAAAGGTTGCACGACATCAAAAGTTCAAAAATTGATGCAACAAATTTGTCTTGTACCCGCAATCCGAAGATGATATTGTTGATCTCGATGGGACCTAAACTCTTTCTATGTTTTAATTTTGGTTTCTCCCATGCTTAGAAATGTTCGTCCTCGGCTACCTACTACAAGTTAAATTTTTATTAACCATATCTAACAAAATGTATTCTCAATTTAAGTGTCTTCAGCTAAAAAATATGGTCAAAACTCTAGTGAGAAATTGCTAGGATATAACAGTTTCAGGAGTGCAACAGAAGGCTGGGATCCTCAGCAATGTAGGTTTTGAAAAATATAGTTTATAGCTTCGCAATTCTTGAAATCTATGGCGGAAGGGCCAATGTGGCATCATTTTTACACAAGAAGGATTATGCTAATTTTGAGTGGATTCCACCAGAGGTGTTTTTTTTTTTTTGGCTTTTTCTGCTAAAAATCCGTTCAAATCCATTTGGTAATCAAAAGCTGGTCATGGGATCCACACCGATCTCAAATGTAAAAATACAAAAGATAGAGAAGCTTCATTTTAAAGTTTTTCAAGGTCTTTTAATTTCTTTAACACTACATTATTTACAACTTCCATATCAACCGCTAGCTTTTGTAACCAAATATTTTCTTCTTCCTTTAACACTATTACAACTATAGTTAAGAGTCTTTTAACCTTCAGCCAAACAGATCCTTGAGTTAAAGGAGTGAAAACTTTCTGAAAAATAACTTTAAAAAAGAATCTTTCAGTAAAATTAATTACCATTATTCTTACAGGAATATCCATCACTAATGAAAGGAAGAAATAGAAGAATCAATGTTTCCATCACAAGCCGGAACACACTGAGGAAAAAAAGGGGCCTCTTTCATAGTAGTGTTCCACTAAACAAAGGCTCTTCTTGCATGTGCGCCCGGTGAATTCAGCTTCCCAAGCATAAATCACAACAATTTTTTAATTTTATTTTATATATAGTTATATAATAACTCACAACAATTCAATTTCTAAAAAATTAATAAAGTTATTTTTCATTCTTGAAAATAATAATATATATAGCTATTTATTGTCCCCTTGTCTCTGTTTCTCCTTATTTCAGTTCTTGGGTCCTTGTTCAAATATCTCATGAGATTAACGCAAACAAGTAATTGACAACTCTGATAACAATTCTATAATATCGATCACCAGTCTAGCTCGAACTGGTTGGCACGTACGTTCTTTGCTCAAACAAGCAAAAGAATTTGAGGAAAATATGGATACAAGTAAACAAACAAATTTTCCAAAAAAATTATCACAAAACTAAGGCAATGTGATTGCTTTTTTAGTTTAACAAGCAATTCTATATAAAAGCACGGGAATGCCTTGCAAGCTCATAAAGAACAACTATCACAAAATTATATACTGTACACCTCGTCACAAGGAAAATCAATACTCCATTCTCTAGAATTATGATAATAGCTAATTAATAAAGGAACGAAAAAACAAATTAATGTTAATGAATCGTTTCGAAAATACACATTACCTTAAATTATCTTATTGCCATGCACCGATGCGATATCCATCTGCTTCTTTCATGGTATGCCAATATGGGAGACCATCTCCATTTTCATGCTTGCAGCAAGAAATGTACTACCCCTATTAACAGAGAAGGTGGCACAAAAATATATACATATGGCGTGTGATTGAATTTGGACAAGAGATTCTTTTAAACGCAGGTGGGTTTTATTTGCTCATTTGTTTTGGGAGATTCAAATATTAATATATATGTTTGAATCTCCCTCTGCTCTCTCTCTCAAGATGGGAATCTGTTTTTGGTACAGATCGATGGAAGTGTTCGTGCGTATACATATATATGTAAGATTGTAAGTGGAATCGATCAAAGAATCTTTTCACATGTTCATTGACATGAGTACTACTTTTATGGTCAAGAATATCCCTACTCCTTTTATTATTGCCTTGCAAAGTCCTCTGAGATTTTTTTTTCCTTGTGTTAGTCGTCGATATATTGAGTAAATAATAAATAGATCGATATGTTTTTAAATAATAATTTGAGTTTTGAATTTTTCTCTATATTTATTATAAATGTGAATAATATTTAAGTTTTGAATATATTATTTCAATTAATTTTTTCGACTATGAACATTTTGATTCAAACTATTTTGATTGAAATACAAAAAAATAAAAAATAAAAAAATAAATTATTCAAAATCACATTACCTATATATTTCATTTTTTAAATTTTTAAATTTTTTTTCATTTCAATCATAAATATTTCGATAAAAAAATTATTAATGATCGAAAAGATAAATTAAAGACTTTATCATTATTAAGCATAAGGTGATAACTCGTCGATAAGCAAAAATTAACTTATATGTTAGGTCCAGGATTTAATATTTGTGATTAACACTTCTGAAAATTTATTCTTATAATACTAGAGACCATGCGTTGTGTAATGCCCCTTAGCCATTTTTAAAGAAGAATTAGTCTTGAGGTATGGAAAAACTGATTTGAAGACACTCTTATCGTTGAACAAAAAAAAAAACTTAACCATTATTCATAAACATATTAGAGGTAATTAAAAATGTAAAGAAAGATTGAACAGTGAAGTTAATGTATAAAAAAAATTGAGTTATTTATCATTTGAGTAAATTATAAATTATGCCCTCTAGTTTAAGAAACAAATTAATTAATTTTTTAAATAAAAATAAAAAAATTAATTGCTTAATCCTCGACTAGTATTGATCACTCTTAATCTTATATTAATTTATTCTAAAAAAAAGTCAATTTTGCTCATAAATGTTTCCAAAATCTATATTTCTTTTTTCTTATTTTTTTTATAAATAAAAAAGAGCAAAAAAAATTGAAAAAAAAAACATAAAATGAAAAAAAATAATTAATTTTTAAAATAAAAACTAATTAATTCATTTTTCAAAACTAAAAGAACTAATTTATAATTTACTAGTCAATATTTACTAGCAACCTTTTCTCCCATACACACGTGTGTGTAAAAAAACTACTACTCTCTCTTCTTAATTTCTAGCTACATAGAGAAAAATTAAATCACAAATTTAGAACAACCAACCTCCAGCTCTTCAACCCTCGCCTTTATGCGCGTTTTTGAATTTTCTTTTCCGTGAACCAGTCGTCAAATTCACTGCTCTTCCCATATTTTGCGCGACAGGCATGGGGGAATGGATCTATCTTGAGTTTGAGAAGCTACCTGGAAAAAGTTCCAAAACGAGGGACAATGTTGTCATAACAAAAGAGGCAGTTCATTTAATAGCGAAACGGCCTTTAGAGCCAAATGTTCGGTTGCATGAGGCACCCGGGGCCAGTACCCTCCACATCGCATCACCTGCTGGTGGAATGGAAGAACCAATGCACCTGCTAGCAGTGGCTACTGCTTATGTCCAATTCAATTCAGCTGCCTTCGAAACAGAAAGGCCCATCTTTCCTGGCTGCAGTTTCCTCACGCTTCACCGAAACCACCACGTGTAGCAGAAGTTTGTCAGCGCTCTAATTAACCGGAAGGTCCCGAGCGGCAGGCCAGTTTCCAGTATCTTTTGCTGGGTGCATTGGAGAGAAGAGAGTGAGATTTTGCAGGGTTTAATGGCAGTTAAAAATTTCATTTCTTGTTAATTCAAACTGATTTTTTCATAAACTAGTCTCAGCATTTTTTTTTAGGTCGAAACTTTTTTTTTTAATATTTAATATTCATTAAATTGTAAAATCATACAGTTTTGTTTGTATAATTTTAGTGTAGTTTTTAAAATGTTTATATATGATAGAATGCATAAAACTTAACCAAACTTATAAGAAATTAATTTTGGAAAACAAACATGTAAATATTTTGCTAACAGTAACAAATTATCCAAGTAAATTCATATAATTTCCTAAGGAATCCCTAAAAAATTATGAGCATTCCAATTTTTAGCTTCTATTTTTTTAACAAATTATTTAATTTAAAATGTTTATAAAATAAAAAGGGGCACTTCCCGACCTAAGAAAAAAGTGAATTTATTTTTGAAAATAAATTGAATTTTTCTTGATATTTATGAAATTTTCAATTCAAAATATCAAAAAATTGAAGTTTTTTAAAAGACGTTTTTCATCAATAGTCAAAGTTTGACCTGTTAATATTACGATGAAATTCAAAATAGGCTAACAAAAATCTTTTCAAAAAATAGTAATTCAAGAATATATTTGATGGTATAAGTACTGATGTGCTGCGATCTGAACAGTTGAGGGGTAAACACTAAACATTAAAAGTTAACTACATTTACCGATTTTCTGGGACTTGAAAGCTTTGTTGGACTTGGCTTTGTAGTCCCTGTTTGGGTTATTTGTTCTAAGAGATTACACAAGCCCATAAAAATGGCAAACCGAGGAGTCTGGTGGAGGCCCAATTATATTTTTCCTTAACACCATTTTGCAAGGATGCAAAGCGTTTGCTTCGATTTTGAGCGTGTGTTTTTTGTTATTGCGTTTAAAAATGCTTTTCCATAGTGTTTTTCAACTGAAAAGAAATCTAGTTTTGGAAAATGTTGGCGCACTCTTTATTAGATACTATCACATGTAGAGGGATTTAGGCAGGGAAGAGAACAGGAAAACTATGAAAAATTGAAAGAAAAAGGAGAAAAAATAAAATAAAATAGCCCTCCTATTATTGGGTTCCATGCATTACATATGCATCTATCATTGGCCTGTTTGGTAATATCAGGATTGATTTTTTCAATCATGTGAGCTAGTCTCTCATGTTGCTGAATCAAATAGGCACTAAAAATGAGTACTTTTCACTCAACTTTTTTTTCCCCCTTTCTCCCTAGTTAATGTTTTTATTATTCCTTTGCAACTTTTAAATGAACCAGCACAATAAAATATCTCGAAGAAGAAAACTCAATTCTGTAACGAAGTTAATATCATTCCTCCGTATTCTAACATTCTTCTCTTACTTTCTGTCTTAAAGCTGGCTCAGGTGATAACATTCTTCTCTCTCTGTCTACTGAAGTCACGGAAAGACCTTTGACACGAATTTAAAGATTTAAGTAACGAATATTCTCAATCTTATCCTTCTCGAGAATGAAATTATGGACCTCTATGAAAATGATGAAGTCAAGCAGTCAACTATAGAGCAGATAATTTTAAACCTAAAAGGTCGGCTATAATCACTTATAAGTCAGCCACTGGATTAGGCAGACGCCTGTTCCATGCATCCAGTCTGTTTACATTCCTTATCTCACCCATTTCGGTGCATTGCCTTTTCTGTTGTCTTGCCCCTTTTGGGCATGCTGTTTTTTTTTTTTTTTTTTTTTTTAAGGTAGAGTAAATTATAATTTATTCTCTTTAGTTTTGAAAAACTAATTAAATAATCAGTTTTATTTTAAAATTACTTAATTATTTTTTTCATCTTGATCATGATTAATTCAATATTATTTTATTCTAAAAACAATATATTTTTATATCATCAATCTTTTTATATTTTTTATTTATTTTTTTTAAAAAAATTAAATAATGAAAATAATTAAGTTATAAGTAGAACTCTTGTTCAAGAATTTAATATCCCTTTTACGATTCTCAACCAGCTACGACATTGCCCCATGAGTTTGTTTATTGTGTGTGTGTATATATATATATAAGAGTGCTACTAAGTTAGAAGTCCATTCTTGTTTATATATATTAAAAAGTTGGCGGTATCTTAATAGCCAAGCATCTATCCTGGATCGGTTAGTATTAATGAAAAGCAAATCTTAGTTCCTTTCTACTTTTCAAATTTCAATCATTTTGGTCTTGGTTTACGAGTTTGCAAGAGAGCCTATCATAAATTGACACGGTAGCATAATCCACGCAGTGATATGACTTCGTGTGTTTGGGGTTACTAAATGCCATAAAGTCTGGTCTCTTTTATTGCAGAGTGGTCCAAAATTTGGTTGCAGTAAACGAGCTTTATGGCTTCGGACATAAAAGAAAAGCTTTTAGGCAAATGACCACCTATTCAGAGTTCAGATGGGTCTCTGTTCATTTCTTTGCAAATTATTGTCCTTTCTTTTAGAAGTAGCGTCCTTTTTTCATCCTCTGCGCTGAAATTAGTTTGCTTTTGTAAGCCATGCATAAACAAGGCCTTATCCACAGTTGGCTGAACTAGTTCTAGCAATTCTGACAAGTTTGGCCAGGATAAGGACGACCCAAGCTATCCAATGGAATCTCAATTATGAACCGTATTTCAAATTGCTTAGCGTTTTATTGTTTGGATTTTTTGAGGAAGGAAATGACTTCAATAATTATCTTCATGGCGGGTTGTGTGTGGAAATGATTGAGCTCCCTTCAAAATTGTCTCAAATTACAGATAACAGGATCTATCATGTTAGGTAAATTTAAAGTATTATTTTTAAAATCAATGATTAAAATTTTTTTAGTAGAAAAAATCAATGTCAACTTTAAACTGATTCTAGCCACCCACTAGTACTAATTTGATAAAATAATAATCCGACTTATTGGTCTACATTTACCTAATATGACAAACAATATTATATTACCCCTAATTCGAGAATAACCGAATGTGGGCGGAAAATAAAGGTTTTTTGTTGGAGAATGAAAACAGTCTAATGATGTTATTTATTCTACAATTGCTAATCCAACTTTATACTTTTATTGAGAGACTGAATTAGTTTCATCTTTTTTACACTGTAGCCACTTTTTTTGGTTAGCTTGCCACTACATGACAATGGATAAGGTACTTAGTCTTTTAATTCAATCTATTATCTTATGCAATAAAAAAAATATCGTCTCATGTCTATTAAAAAAATATCTTATAAACTCCTAATTCGCCTTTACTTATTAGTTTATCGATTCATTTAATAATTATTTAATACTCGTTAAAAAAAATTTATCAAAATATTTTGTTTTCATCCATGTATCGAAAAAGTTATTTTGATTTTAAAAAATTAATATTTTATAATTTGGTCCTTTATTAATAAGTTTTTGATCCTCGAAATTTTTATAAAAAAAATTTTATTCTCTATTTTATAAATTTTGTGTAATACGGTCTCTGCATGTTAATTTTTTTTTTTTCAAACAAAATTAGTGAATGTTAGTAGAGTGTAAAGTGAATTCTATATCTAAAAGTCATATTAAATGGTATATATATTTTTTCATCTTTGTCTTTTTCAATGTCCATCAAATATTTTTAATGAGTATTTATTAAATCGGATAGAGTAAATATCCGTTTCATGCTCAACATAATTTTCATCCCCGGTTGCCAACTTTAATCGTAATCAAGATTTCATTTATATCAATTCTAAACATAATTGTTTGTAATATTACGGGATACTTTTTAATAATATTGTTACTATTATACATTAATTATTCAAGTAGTTTGTGTATCTCACTTTATCAATTTTTTATTATTATTATAAGTTATATATATATATAGTTATAGTTAGTGAGATATTTACATGCTAGTCTTCATGTTAATCGAGATTAAGTTTACTAATCACTAGACTAAGTTAGGATCAGATTAAGACTAGTTTTGGATCATTTCTAGGAGCATAACTCTTTGAATTAATCAATATCTCATATCTAGTGCTTAAAAAAAGAAGATTAAACGATAAAAATCTAACCTAAGACCCGATAAGGAGAGATACATCATCTTATCATTCCGCTTATAACTTCCAATGATGTTATTATAAGTAAATAAGTAATTTAAAATACATTTGTGTGAATCATTCTTTTGTAGTAAAAGAAAAAGAAAAACAAGAAGTTCCATGCTGTAAAAAAATACATGTAAATAGTATTTATTATTATTGTTGTATTATGTTAGGAAACTAGTTTTTTTTTTTTTTTTTTTTTAATTCAACTACTAAATCGTAGGTTTCATTTCCAGAAGAGTATAGATTAAAGCTAATTAATTTTAGAATAAATTTTAGGAACATATGTTAAATTTTGGCACTCATTTGCGATATTATTGTTTGTTTATAAATTTTAGATCGCAAGAATTACTTTTTATAAAATGTACATTCTGCGTTAGATCTTGAAGAATTTATGTTTGATATTATTATAGAATTTTAATTATGATTAGAGAAAAATATAAAATATTGTTAGCTTGGATACTCCACAAAATTTTGAAGTGCAGTCAATGATCGATGGAGTGAACATAATACAACCAAAGTGCACAGTCCAAATATCATAATCCTTTTTTGTTTAATTCCATATTAATTTTATCGAGTCTCACTCATCTCCAATTCTAAATATATATGCCTATTTTTAAAAATTTGCATGGATGCATAAACATTAAAACAAGAGGGAGATGCGAGAATTCGTGTATAAAATAGTGCACCATCTACGTTGTATCAAATGACAATTAACGTTTAAGCTATGGATTCTTCTTTTTTATATATTGCTTTTTATTTTTACTCTAAGGTTTTACTTTAATTACTTGCATCAACACTTGAGTATCAAAAAGATTTTAAAAAACGCTTTCAATTTCACGAGCTCACACAATA